TGATAGAGTGCTATCTTCAGATGAACTTCTAGGTAAGTTCTAAAGCGTAGAGCCAGCCAGGGTTTAGATCTGGGATTCCTCTGGCCCTCAATACGCGCCTCACTCCCATCCTACAAGAACTTCAGAAGAAGCAGCAGGTCTTTACACCTCAACTCCAAGCTGTAGACTGGGGCAGCCTAAGATTCACTGGACCCAGAACCACTCTCTAACAAAACATATCTGGTTCTGAGATAAGAATACTTGAATGGCTCAGTGATAATTCATACCGCCTCTGAGCCTACGTTCTCACATATGAATTTTCTGTGCACAGTGATATAGAACTATGTGTTTTTAAATAACTGAAATTGCACATCAATGAATGCCTTAGTATTTAAAAAAACTACTCGTGAAAAGAAGGAGAGAAAGCATGATTATCAGCAGATTACCTCTCCACAAAACGGCTGCTCCTGAAGCAGAGTTTTCTGGGTAGCTTCTGTCTGCTGGGGCAGGGGACCATCAATGTTTATATTTCAGTTTTCTGTCCTTACTTACAGGAGCTTCCCCTTCAAGGCTTCTGGAAGTTTATGGATGGAAGGCAGACTAGGACAATATGGGCCTCTTTCTCTGGGAATGGCCATTTCTCAGAAACAGAAGAGGCAGACAGACTAGAGGAACCAGATGTCAACTTTCCCAGAACAGCCGAGGACACAAGCGATAGAGGTCTGAGGAGAGTCTCCATGGGACGTGACGAGGAAGCAAGCAGCACCCCAGCCCCAGCCCCAGCCAGCAGCTGCAGTAAATAACCTTGCTTTGCCAGCAGTTAGGCTCTGGGGTCTGGGCCTCATCAGAGACTGCAGATCCCTGGCACACACTGTCTAGCAGGGAAACCTGACACACCAGAGCTCCCATCAGCTCCTGACTGACCTTGATTCTGCGGATGCAGAGATTCTCCGGACAGCATCTGACCTGCTCTGCCTCATCTCTCCCAGCTCCAGGTACCAGCCCTGAGTGAACAAACTTTAAAGGAGTCAAATCTGGAGCTGTCAAGTCAGGACAAGAAAGACGGGAACAGAACAGATAGCACCAAGATAGAACCCAGGGTCTTTTTCTGGACTCTGACTCACTTGCAACCAAATGTCATATTCCTTAAACCTTGGCAGTGTGGGTCTGGTCATTTTCTACCAGGTTCCTACTAGAAGGGATCTGGTTCTTCCTTTTCAGTGTACTTGTTTGAAGAGCAGAGCCCACAGAGGTTAATAAACCTTCGTTTTGATAAATGCCTACACTGTCAGTCACATTTATTAAGAACTTGTTATTGGAAACACATCACAAAGTGGTTAAGAACACGGAATTTAAGTCTGGCAGAAGCAAGTGTCATGTCTCAGGCTGCCCACTCACCAATCTGACTGGCCTTGAACAAATTGGTTAACCTTTCTGAACCTCAAAATCCACGTCTATAAACTACAGATAGCAATACCCATTCCCTGGGACCAGGGGATGATGGGAGAAGTTGGCCGGCCTGTAAAGAGAGTACATAGCACAGCACAGAGGCCTCAATAAAAAATTTTTTTTAAACTAGATATTATCTATGTGTGTCACCAGAGCATGAAGTACTGGAGTCCAGAACTGCATTTTCCCTAAAAGCATGTGTGTGCTACTGCACACTAGTAGTCCTGGCACCTGGAAGGCTGAAGGGTCAGGAGTTCAAGGTCATTCTCAGCTACAGGGTGAGTAGGAGGCTAGCCCGGACTACCTGAGACATGTTGGGGGGAGGGGGAGGGAGGGAAGGGGAGGTGCTGGAAGGGACTGGAATGCAGGAGGCATTTTTTCTCAGAGCACTGCCCCACTTGTATCTGGAATATGCCCCAGCAATTCAGGACTGTGCATCTGACCTCTAGCCGGAGGATGCTGCTCAGGGGAGGCTGGCACCAGGTCTGAGATTCAAGGGTTTTGTTTTGTTTCTCACTCTGATTCTCAGATGTTTGGCTGTCAGAATTTCTTGCAGCATAGCCTGGAAGCCGGTGATAAGTTAGATTTTGCCTGGGGGGGGTGGGGGTGTCCAATCCACCTTCTTTTTATAACTCTTCTGCTGCTTATCGTTGCGGTTTTAGAGGGATTAATGATGAATCGTCCTACTGCAGCAGAACTGGACAGGAGAGCCTGAGAGGAGCGAGAGCACCAGGCAGGAGGCTGCAGCTCTGGAATCCTCTCATCTCTGTTTCCATTGGTCATGGAATATTTCCAGACAAAATAGGGAAGGCGTTGACTTCAGAGTGAACAGTGTGAACACACTCTCTCTGTGTCTCTTTCTCACTGTCTCCCTCTCTCTTTCCCTCTCCCTCTCCCTCTGCCTCTGCCTCTCCCTCTTCCTCTCCCTCTCCCTCTCCCTCTGCCTCTCCCTCTCCCTCTTCCTCTCCCTCTGCCTCTTCCTCTCCCTCTGCCTCTCCCTCTCCCTCTGCCTCTCCCTCTCCCTCTCCTTCTCCCTCTCCCTCTGCCTCTCCCTCTCCCTCTTCCTCTCCCTCTCCTCCCTCTTCCTCTCCCTCTCCCTCTACATCTCCCTCTCCCTCTTCTAGTAGCCAGCTTGGACTCTTGCTTGCTACCTTGAGGGAATCTTATGTTCTTGATTCTTGATTCTTGAAATGAATGCACCTTAGATCAGTCCTAGATCTAGACACTTTACAAAGGGGAAGAACAAGAACTCCAGAATCCCTAAAAAAAGATTGGAGACCCATTCTTCTCCCTAGGAAAAGCTAACATAAGCTCTGCAGAGCATTTCTTTTGAAGCTTCCAACACCATTATAGATAGGACAGCAGAATAGGGAGATAGCAAGACCCATTCAAGGAGAAAGAACACCTGAAAATTACTCATTAGGTGTGCCAGCTTGGGGACAGGACACAATCATAAACAATACCAGTGAGTCAAGGTTTCTCTGTTGGAGTGATCCAGGAGCTATTGTAAGTGGGCACACTACTTACCTCACACTAGCCTAGTTCTTGTTCTAGCTTCCCCATTCAGGGAAGCCTTGAAAGTTGGGATTAGGTCCACTTGGAGCTGAGTTATGGCTTTAATCACATAGAATCTGACCTCCTTCCAATGCCTACCACACACACACACACACACACACACACACACACACACACACACACCATGTTCAGGAACACAGCAGGGAGAGGGGAAAATCATCTCTGGTTGAGATCCACATCAGAAAAGGTGGGAATCCAATGTCTGGCAGCACCTGCTATGTCTAGCACTGGTCACAAAGTAAGACTGTGTAGAATGGTACCAACAGCATCCTCCTTAACAACTTCAGAAACAGATGTTCCATGATGCAGTGACTTGCCCAAGATCACCATGCTGGCACATGATGGAACAGTAGGCCAAACTGGCAACAAACACAGTGCCTCCTCATCAGCCTGCCCTGCTGGTCATCCCCATGGGGACAGAGTTCAACAGGCCCTTGTTCACAGCAGGCAAACTGAGGTCTACTCTGAAGATTTGCCCACCCCTAAGCCACTTGGAGCTCGGGCAATTCCAGCTCACGAGTCCTGCTAAAGAACTGCACTGAACTCACAAACAGCTGACACACGACTGTGTGACTCAGGCTAAGCAAACTCCAATCAGAGCTGGTGGGCACGATTCACCTCCTGCACTGAGTCACTGTAGGCTAAGATGCAGAAATCCTCTATTCGACTCAACCACCTACTTAGACACAGCTGCTCCATTGGAGAAAAAGTCATCACAGGAGCTACAACCTCTGATGGCCTTGTGCATAGCCAAGGGCGACCAGGCGTGACCTAAAAGTCCTCCTCTCCCAGGAGACGGATCTACCTTACTGGACATGATACAATGTGAGAACCTCGAAAGGAGTGTGCCTACACTCCACAAGTCTGAAAACCACCAAAGCTTGACAGATACTAGAGAGCCATTCCAGTGTTTTCTCAGTCCCTGGAAGTTCTTGCTAACAAGGGCAATGGCACTCTTCTTCGTCCCCACTCCTCCAAACCAACCCAACCTTCCTCTTGTTCACAGATAACTGTCTTCCAAGGTAGCTCTACTTAGAAATTCCCTAATTCATACGGCCTAGTAAATGGTTTCTAAAGAAAGGGAGAGGAAGGATGGGAAAAAAGGAGACAGGGAGGGGGAAAGAAGGGAGGGAGGGAGGATAAGGAGAGGGGGGAGAGAAAATTTCAAGGAATAAAGCCCACTTGACAGCAACTGGGTCCAAGCAGCCTCAGAACTTCTGAACTTGAACCCCTGACAGAACTGTTTCAGCTTTAAGAGAACTGAAGCATCGGGCTTCCTTCCAAGGCGGCCGCGCCCCTGGGGGAGTATCCTTGGTATACCGTCTGCACAGGTATAAATGTGGCGGCGGCTTCTCTCCAGACAACCGGCCGCTCTAGTGCATGCCTCCTATCTTTGCCTTTCGGTCCCCAGACGCGCTTCCCTCGGGGGAGGAAGGAGCTCTTCCACTCTAACTCCAAATTCACTGAGGAGCAGCTCCAGTACTGGGGATTAAATATTCATCTCGGGAGCGAACGTTCTGCCTTTCTAGCCAATGTTACCGTCAAGGTCACGGGCCCGAGGCCGACTGGCTGGGACTGGGGTCCCCAGCTGTGCCGGAGGCTCTCGGCGGAGCTGTGCCCTGGGCGCGCTCCAGGTACAGGGACCCACCGAGCTGGCCTCCCTGGTCCTCTGCTGGTGCTCGCCTCTGCCGCTGTCCGGTTACCTCTGGAGTTCTGGGGCATCCTGAGCTCCAGAAGCTGAAGCCCAAGTCTAACCTCTGCAGGAGCTGCCGAGCACCCTTGACGCGCCAGATCGTCGCCGCCCCGGGGCTCTGTCGCCAGGCAACCGCGGCTAGAGCGCGGCAGGAGCCCCCGCGCCAGCGCAGGGTCGGGCAGACCGGGAGGAGCGCTGCCACGCACCAGGGGCCTCAGGCCTTCTAAGCTGGGGCGGAGCCGCAGTAGCCAAAGTTGCGGTGACTGGCTCGGGTACGCCAGACGGGGAGCAGACGGCGACTCACCTGTCCCGCGTGAGCCGTCGCGTGGACTCGGCCCCTGGACTATCGCCGAGTGGCCGTGGTCCCCGACGGGTCGCGGGTGTACCGTCCTTCCCGAGGGCAACTGGAGTCACAGGCCCGGGTCCGGGCTGGGGGACCCGGAGGTGCGCGCGCCGGCGCACGCGGCTCAGCTGGCTCCTCGTTCCCTCCCTCGCCGTCAGTCCCAACCCTGCTCCCGCCCTTCGCCCGCCCGCTCCGGGCTCTGGGGAGCCACCCCGGGGCCCAGGTTCCACGGCGGAGGGAGCGCGTGGCTGTGAAGGCCCCGATCGACTGCCACCCTCCCCGCGCCCTGTCCGCACTGGCTCTGCGGAGCGGAACGGAGCTGGGCGGAGCGCGGCGTGCACTGTTCCCTCGCTTTCCGAAAGGCCACCCTGGCGGCGGGGCGCCGTGACGCAGGCTTGACTCACGCGCGGGCCCGCGTCAAGGCGAGGCTCCAGGGCTGCGAGCAAGGCTTTGATGGCCGATACAGGCAGAGGGGTAGGCAGGGAGCAGGAGAACGGTTGCCAGGAGCCTCCTGATGCCTGAATGCTCTCCTTGGGGCATTTGCCCTCGGGAAAATGGGCTCCCATGGCCAAAGGCCTCCTGAACCGGGACCTCACCTGTCTTCACAGCCCTTTGACCCTCTTTCAGGATTCCAATCCTACTCTGTGGTTATTCTTTCCACCCCTAGGTGAATGTTGCCTCTATTCCTACCTTTGGGCTGCCCTTTCCCTCCAAGGCTCTTCTATGCTACCCTAGGAGGCCAGCCCTTGCACAACACAGTTTCTCAGAACCCTGACAAACGTGTGAAGTGGGGGCAGTGAGAGAGAGGGAAATTGTGATTGGGTACCAAAAAGTTGTTGAAGAATGCTAGCTTTAAATAATGTATGGACAAAAGGAGGAAGGGCAGCCATTGTGGAGGGGACAGTGTGCCCAAGGCAAATGAAAGAGTGAAGAATGCGTGCCAACAAGTGGTTGCCTGAGCTGGAACAGAGCAGGAGGGTGACAGGGTGAAGTCGGACATGGTGACAGGCCTTGGCTGGCTGGAAGCGCTGACTGGGGAGTCTGGCATGATTGACTGTGCTCTAGGGGACCTTTGGTAAATCACAGGGCAGTTTGGGAGGGATGGAGGAGGTGAGATTGTCTTGATTATCCCAGTGACAGCTGATAAAGACCAGAATCGAGAACTCGAGAAGAGACTGAGATTCTGTACTTACAGTCTAACCAGTTATCCTGCCACCGTTTTATGGATGCTGACAGAAGACAAAACTCCAGGGCCAGGAACAATGGGCTTGTAGTGTTCGTGACACAGCAGTAGTACATGCTTCATATTCAGATCGGGTTCTCTTAATCAAGTTCTGAGGGAGGAGCCTCAAGTTTAGGGAAGCCTAGTGTTTTATGATGAACTACAAGAAAACCTGCTGGTAATATGCACTGACTGAATTTTTATCATAATGGGCAGCAAACAAACTACCCTCCGGCTTCTGAGGCAGTCAACTATGCAAAGATCTGCTGAACCAGAGTTGAACACGAAACCATCAGCGCCTCTGCCCATGAGACATCTGTAGATGCAAGGTGCCCATTGAGATGATTCTGCTGGGCACTATTGCAGTCCTGTGGATGTAGCAGACAAGGCTCAGCATGATCCCTGCCCTTACGGAATTTACATCCGGGTGCATTGCACCAGGAGGTCAGCAGACTGGAGATGCATGAAGAAGCAGGTGATGTAGTTGCTGTGACAGTGACAGATACAGTGTGACCGCTGGCGTGCTGTGAGGGGTGAGGGGAAGGAGGCCTCAGATACAGACAGTTTCAAGGAAAGAGGCTTTAGAGTTGGTGTAGTGACAGGAAAAGAACTTTTGAGTCTTGTGAAGCTAAGTTTTTCATCTAGATTGTTATTACTTTCATACCTTGAGTAAGATCTATAACCTAATGGGCCTCAGTTTCCAGGTCTGTAAAAAGGTACACACTGCGAAAAAATACATATTCTATATAGTTGTGATGATCACATGAGATGATTGCTTTTAATTATCTGATATCACATGCGCTTGATAAATGACTGTTATTATGTGATTGTATTGTCACTAAGACAACCTAGGAAGAGGAGATTTGGGAACAAAGGTAAGATATCCTGGATTTGAGGCATACTGAGAACAGCAGGTCTATCAGGCACGAAGGCCGTTGTACCATATCCACATCCACTTGCTGACAGCCCATCTTTAGTGAACTCAGTGCTTGGTTCTTCCATGCAACGTTCTCTGGGAACAAGTCACAATACGAGCCTATCTCCCTCTGCCTTCATGGTCACCAGCCTTGAATGGGCTCCTCTTTCCCAGTGCCTCCGTGTGGCTTAAGATCCATCTATTCCTCCCTCCAGTCAAGGCCACCCCAATGTTCTATTCTCTCAACCAGCCTTCATGTCAATGCATCATCTCCTTGTTCTCCCAGAAACCGCCTCGGTCCTCAGAAGCTCCTTGAATTTCACCCAGAGCTGTTGTGCCAGCCCCACCTGCACCCACCTGAGCCTTGGCACGCTTCCTCCCTCGGGTCTCTGAGAGAGCAGAGGAACTTTCCCCGCTATCAGAACCCAGGCCCCACTTAGTCCCTGGGTCCCTTGGCCCAGACCTTCTTGGCAGGCTCAGACATCAGTCACTCTAGACTCTCCTGGTTTGTCAGCCTCTCCCTTGATACTGGGTCTTTTTCGGTGACTTTGAAGCATGTTCAGATATTTTCTTTAAAAGTCACCTCAGCTTTCTCCTTCTAAATTCTCTGTCTCCATTTCCTCCTCTCCCCCGTACTCCTTAGTCAACCCTGCTCTCTCATGATGTCAAGATGGATCTCCGCAATGACCTCCAAGGCCCTAAATCTGCGGGACATTTTTCTAGTCCTTCCGTTATTGACTTTTCTATAGTACTTTCTTGGACTCCTCTCCTTCTGTAAGCACCCACTCCTTATCTCCCTCTGCCCTCTGGTCATCCCTGTAGCTCTCCTGCTGTCCTTCATATACTGGACTTCCCAGATCCCGTCCTTTGGCCATTATGGATTGTTCTAAGCCACCATCTCTCCTGCTGCTGTCTTCATTCTAGAGTCTCCTGAGCTCTGCACACTCAGTTACTTACTCCACCTGCCCAGACAGGTCTCTCAGAATCACCTCCTTAGCCAGAGACCCATCCATCCTGCAAGACAGTCAACATTTTGCTTTCTGTTCCACCTTCAAGTCTCCCCCAGAAAGCCAATCGTCACCTTGCAACCCCCTCCTTCTTATCCCTTCATGATATGCATCATTAAACCCTGGAGGTCTTAGCTCCTACCTGCCTGTAGAGTCTAGCTACTTCTCTTTAATTCTACTGCAGCAATCTTAGTTCAAACTAGAACCATCACTCTCCTGGATGCTCATAATCTCCAGGTTTGTCCCCTTTGCCCCACACAAGAGGAATTTTTAAATGGTTTTCAAAGACAGGGTTTCTCTGTAGCCCTGGCTGTCCTGGAACTTGCTCTGTAGACCAGGCTGGCCTCAAACTCAGAGATCTGACTGCCTCTGCTTCTTGAGTGCTGGGACTAAAGGTGTGTGGCACCACATCTGGCTACAAGAGAAATCTTTTAGAAGTGAAAATGTAATGGTACCCTGCTCATGCCCTCAGGGCCTCGAGGCCCTTCTTGTCTCCAGCTTCATCTGCCACTCCCTGACTTTCCTGCAGCCCACTTGCTCCATCAGCCTTCTCTCTGCTCTCCCCACTCTTCCCACGCTTTCCTGGCTCGAGCTTCGGCCCATCTGGCCCCTCTGCCAGGAATCAGTTAAGGCCCTCCTCCTCTCTCTTTGCTTCCTGTCCACTCACCCAACAGAATTCTCCATAGCCTTCTGACTGTGTAGAAAAAGAATGCCAGCCCCTCAGGTGGCCATCTTCCCCTTTGTAGCCTTTGTCACAACTGTGGTGAGGTGTTTAAGGATGTGGCTGGCTCCAAGGGGAGGGTGGTCCCCTTGGTACATGTGGGAGCTCCACAAAGGCAGAGATCATGCCTATCCTCAACACACGATGGGGCCTCCACAAACACTAAGAATAGAAAGGGGTAGTTAGGAATACGAGTGGGAGAGCCAGGAAAGCAGGCTGGAGACAAAGTCAGAAGTCCCAACCACAGAAGACATGGCCGAGACCATCCAGAGGAAAAGGGGAGATGATCTGGAGAGTCTCAGTGGGAAGACTGACTTCTAAGGCAAGAGCAAGGAGGTCAGAAAAGAAGACAGGGAGGCAAGAGCTGGGAGGACAGTGTGTGTCACAGACGTTTCTAGAAGGAAAGCCAATCCACAGTGTCAAAAACTGCAGTGAGTCGGAGATGAAGCCTGAAGGTGTCACGGTGGGCAGGCTCGTGACATGACAGGAAGCCACAGTGCACGTGCAGAGGTGGAAATGGGCGGTAGACTTGTACCCTGTAGTCTTCTCAAGCACTTCAGCTTCCAAAGACATCTCTCCTCTGATCACCCTGAATAAAAAATTCTTCCTTTACATATTATAGTATTAAAATTATAGGATGTGAACTGTGAAGGTGGTGTGACTGGTACCTTCATATTACTAATGGAGAAGCTAAGAGTTAGTGTGGTTAGTCGACCCACCTAAGTCACACAGAGAGTTCATCCCGTGTTTAAAGCCTTTGCTCGAGCTGGGCATTGGTGGCGCACGCCTTTAATCCCAGCACTCGGGAGGCAGAGGCAGGCGGATCTCTGTGAGTTCGAGGCCAGCCTGGTCTACAGAGCGAGTTCCAGGACAGCCTCCAAAGCCACAGAGAAACCCTGTCTCGAAAAACCAAAAAAAAAAAAAAAAGCCTTTGCTCCCATTGTTGACATTTAGGGACTTGTAATGTGTGCCCCCTTTCATTTATGTAACTTCTGAGTATGTTGAACACAGACGAACTAAGATAATGGCATCTCCCTTGTTCTGAGTGACACAATTACTGCTATTTCCCATTCTGGAAATAAGCATCTCATCGTCTCCACGGTGTCTTTTGTGGTTAGGACTTCTGACTTTTGACGCAAGTTTTTCAGCCTGGGAAGAAAATGAAGTCACCAGGCCCTTGCTGCCGGTGTGAGGCGGACAGAGGGGTGGACAGCTCACAGTACACACCGGGAACTCGGCCCCTTAGTAAGGGGCTCTGGAGCAGACGGTAGTCCCAGCAACTCAGGAGGCTGAGGCAGGGAAAGTGCTTAAACCCAGAAGACTGAGAGCAGCATGGGGACACAGAAAGACCTTGAGACCACACTTCAAGGAGAAATAAACAGAAAACCAACAACTTGGCTACAGGAGTTAGAGGGCAAGTACCTGAGATTCCTTGCTCGTGAAACGGTGATGACAATTCTGCATTCACACACACAAGGGGCGGGCATCTTAGTTAGGATGTCTATTACTATGAAGAGACCACAGCAACTCTCATAAAGGAAACATTTAATTGAGGTGGCTGCTCACAGTTCAGAGGTTCAGCCCGTTATCATGGTGGGGAGCATGGCAGGGTGCCAGCAGACATGGTGCTGGCTACATCTTGATCAGAAGGTAACAGGAAGTAGACTGAGGCACCGGGTGTGGTTTGGGTGTATATGAAAATTCAAAGCCCACCCCTTAGTGACATACTTCCTCCAAGAAGTGACATACCTACTCCAACAAAGCCACCCTCCTAATAGTACCGCTCCTATGAGCTTATAGAGGCCAGTTAGATTCAAACTACCACAGGGAATTTTTTTATATAGTATCAAAAGATAATAATGAGCTATTAGGAGTTTTAGAACTTGGAAACGGCGTCATGGTGGTGTCTTATCTAGGCTTTGTTGGGAGATAGTGACCCCAGAGGCCTTCTTGCTTTTTAGAAGAGGTCTCAGTTTCTAGTCCTAGAGCCCACTCATGGCAGCCCCTAGGAAGTTCTTCAGTGTTGGCTTTGTAGGTTTCACGACAGCCGTGCTTTGGGGCCTGAGAAAGATTCCTAAAGCCAATGGACTCCAGTGACACACAGGTTTGGGGCAAATGGCAGAGAAGCAGGATGGAACTGAAAACAAAGACAGCAGAGGATGACACACATAAAGAACTAATGGAGGCCTCCATTTCCTGCCCGTCACTTCACACCCCTCCGCCCATGACTCAGAGGAGCCTCTGGATGGCTTTGTTCCTTATCTCCCATGGCAACGCAAGGCCAGCGTGCTGGTGATGGAGACAATGAATGCACAACCCTTCGCAGGAGCAGTGTGTACCCGGCAGGCTGTGTGGCCTGATTCCTTTGTGTCTTGGAACTCAATGGCAGAAAACATGGCTCCCAGAGAAGCTGGTTCCAGAGAGTTCCTTCTAGGCAGGGTGGGCATCCCAGTTCAACATGCCACTGTCAAAGTCCAGAACCAAGTCCAGAGTAGACCTTTGGAAACGATTATTCTAGGGCAGGATTCTAGGCAAGCATTTCATTGCAGGAAAGGATCTGGTCTCCTCTCTCTTCCCCTAGACTACGATGAAGAGTTAGGTAAAATGAGGTTCTGAGCACCATCTGGACACTACCTGAACAATCTCTGACAGACTGTTCAATTTCTATGGCCTTCAGACTATCTGAAAAAAGAAAATGGAAATGGGATGGGGAGATTGCTTGGTGGGTAAAAGCACATGCTATGAAAGCATGAGAGCCTGAGTTCCAGGGCACCCACACAAAAGCTCGGCATGTGTGTACCTGTAACCAGTGCCAGGGGTTAGAGGAAAAAAAGATTGGAGGACACATGGTCAGCCAGCCTAGGTAAAAAAAAAAAAAAGAAAGAAAGAAAAGAATGGTGATCTCCAAGTTCTCAAGGGAATAAGGTGGAAAGTGACAGGACAGGAAACCCAGTGTTCTTGGGCACTTGGGCACTTGCATACACCACACACACACACACACACACACACACACACACACACACTCATGTGCACGGGCACACACAAAAATGAGGGAAAATGAAAATAGTATTCTTTTTCCTTTCTTTCTTTTGAGACAGGGTTTCTCTGTGTGGCTTTGAAGCCTGTCCTGGTACTCACTCTGTAAACCAGACTGACCTTCAACTCACAAAAATCTGCCTGTCTACCTCCTAAGTGTTGGAATTAAAGGCATGGTGGAAACAGTATTCTGCTTTCTGAGCTCACTTGGATGCTGTAAGGATTAGGGAAGATACAAGTACCTGAACTTGCTGGGCAGTGGTGGTATGCTTTTAATCCCAACACTCATGAGATAGAGGCAGGCAGGTCTTTGAGTTCAAAGTCAGTCTGGTCTACAGAGTGAGTTTCAGAATAGCCAAGGCTATACAAAAAAACCCTGTCTTGAAAAACTGGGGGGAAAAGAAAAAGAAAAGTGCCTGAACTCAGAGCAATTTGCCACAGCTGCTGTTAGTAGGAAGACATAAGATCCACCAAGAACTGCTCTGGGCAACTTAACATTTAATGCTATCAACTCATTAAATCATTAAATAGCCATTTGCTCTGGGAATTTTAAAGTACATGGTACATGCTCCTCTTACAGGCTAAAAGCTTGATTTGAAAAATAACGTAACTAAAAAAATCTATCAGGAACAATTCAGTAATATTTGGTTATAAAAATTAGCAAACTAAAAGCATGTAACCTTCAGATACACAGCCACCAGGCAGAGAGTTTAAGAAATGATTTTGTTACCATAGCAACAGCAATTAAAAAGAAAAACAGGGATATAAGTTACAAGATACACAGAAAATCAATATGAATTAAGAGTCCAAATAAAACTGGGAGGTTCACAAGATGGTTTGAATGTAAGGAAGGAAATGACTGGACAGCTGAACTGTCCACACCTGTGATCTCAGCACCTGGGGAGGCCAGCCTCGGCTACATATTGAAAATGTCTCAAAAACAGAAACAACGAAAGACCTTGGTCTTTGGAAGAAATGTTTCTGGAAGACAAAACATAGTAAGCATGTTTATTTTCTCTGAAGTAATTGAATTAAAACTGCAGGGTCCTCCCTGCAGGTAGAGCGAGGGGGCGGGAGGGCTGGGCCAGCCAGTCTCTTCCAGGGGGCTGAGTAGGGATGGTGAGTGTCACCAACTCAGACCCTCCCCCCTACTAGTTACCAGGGAAAAATACACACTGAGTCGGGAGTCTGTCGAGGCAGGATCTCGATTTATTCCAACAGGGAGGAACTTATATAGGGCTGAGGTAGGGGATGGGAATCTTAGGATAGATTAAGGTGATGTGAGGAGTAAGGGCCAATAGTATTCCACCAAGCAGGCAGGTAGCTAGGCAGGGGGCAATCTTACATCACATCTGGCTGAGTCACCCCCACGTGGAGGTCACAGGTCTGAGACAGGTCACCAAACTCTAGCCAGGCTTAGGAGGTTACACTGGGCCTTGCATCCGAGCCTTTCTTAGGCCCAACATAAAACAGCTACAAGTTTTTTTTTCTTGACAAGCTGATTCTAAGGTTCAGAGAGAAATAGAAAAAAACAAAATTAGCCAGGTAAATTATGAAAATGAAGATTTGTAAAGAACTAGCCCACAAGCAAGAGCATATTCTAAAACTACTGAAATGAATGCATCCTAATCAAGAGAAATACACGAGGCAGTGGAAAAGCTCAGAAAATCTCAGGTAAAAACGTTTTAGGTTTATAGTAAAGATTGTGCTGTATTTAAAATGGGTAGAAACAGATTTTAATCAATCATATTAGCTTGACCATCGGATGCAAAAATAAATCTGAATCCTTACCTTGCTCCTTATATCAACATAAATTATTGATGGATCAATATTGATGAATGTGAAAACTTAAGCCACAGGAGCACATCATGAGCAGGACCTTGGCGGGGTAGTATAGCCTCAAATAGATCTATTAGTAAGGGAGAAAGGCTGAAAATCAATGAACTGCGCAACCATTTCAAACCTTAGGAAAAGAACTACAACGCAGACCCAAACAGACAGAAGGAAGGAGACGCTGGAGCCAGCAGAGAAGGTGAAGACGTGGACAGCAGAAAGGCCCGCCAGCAGCTGACCCCTTGAAACCAGGCATGATGCCCCATACCATGAACTCCGCACTCAGGAGGTGGAGGCAGGATTGTGAGTTCCAGGCCACCGAGAAAATGAGAGCAAGCGAGGGGGTGAGTCAGAAACAGACAGACAGCCAGGAGAGACAAAGGGAGAGAGATTGACAGACGATTGATTGATTTACTATATAGTCTCTAAATAGCAGGAAAATATTAAATGTGTGGTTATGTAGAGAAGAGTATGATTGGGGAAATCTTTAAAGTGAAAATAAAACTGTCTGTTACACTTTTTGCAAATGTAAACAGATGTTCAGTTCCATGTATGATAGGAGAAATGCAATCTGAAAAACAATGGGATGCCACGCTCCCTGTTATGATGGCCAATAAATAAGCATGGGAAATAGGGTTGAGAACACACATGTTGCCAGCAGAAGAGTTAAATGGTAAGTCTCCGTGGAAGAAAATTAGGCTATAGTTATCAAAATTCCAATGCCACAAATCCCTTGACCATTAAGCCATGTCTATAAAAATTAGGACGACATACACTCATTTGGCATGTGTTTGGTTAAAGACACTCATCTGAAGATACTCCTTGAGCAGTATCTGTAATAGGAAATTAGGAAACAATCTTGATATCTATCAGCAAGGAGCTGTTTATATCATCTATGGCACCTCCATACAGTGACATTCTTAGTAGACATTAAAATGATCAGGGCTGCTCTTTATGTTCCAACCTCAAAATGTCTCCAAGATGGGCTGTTAAGTGCAGAGAAGATAAAGAGGGCATGGCTGTCTATGCCTGTAGATCCAGAGATATTTCTGAATCGACACATGACAGACTGATGATCATGTCTCCTCTATGGTAAGGTGCTGTGTAAACAGGGGCAGGGGAGGGATAAAGATTCACTTCTTAGTATCCTGTTCACCCTGTCTCCACCACCATGTCCATAGATGACTGTACACATCTGTACGCTAAACCAACTATAATGTCCTTCTAGGTCCTACTTGTTAGTTGGGCTGAGAAGGAAGAGCATGGGCTTGGGACAGACCAGCTGGGTGCTGATTCTGAGCTTCCCATCTTTGTCAGCCCAGTGGGCCTGACAGAGAGGGCCCAGGAGCTGGTGAGAAGGCAATGAGAAAAATACATACAGCTCTCGCTCAGTAAACAATTACTGCTTACAGCTTTTCAGGACACAGTTACAATGCCGGGAAGGACAGAAGGAATTGAGCTTTGTACTCAAATAAACACACTCCCTCCCCTTCAAAGTTGCCTCTGAACTGCTCAGGAAGAGAAACAGCAGGCAACATTTTCTAATATGAGCAGCAAGGACATCGCTCCTCAGGAGGAGAAAAAGGTGTTCCAACTGCCTCGACTTCAACCTGGTGAATGCATTGTCATTCAATGTAAATAATGCTCAATGGGACTACAGCACCGGCCAGAGGGGGCTGGGAAGATGTGCCAGGTGATCCTGGGAATGGGAGGGTGATGTTTACCCCACCAGACACCAGGCACCAGGCACCAGGCACCAGGCACCAGGCACCAGGCACCAGGCACCAGGCACCAGGCACCAGGCACCAGGCACCAGGCACCAGGTACAAACCTGCCTCCCCTCAGCTCAGTGAAGAAAGGCATGGAGGTTCCAGGACCAGCTTCAAATATAGATCCGTTTCCATAAAAGCATCAGCAGCTGCTTCTATAAATACCTCGGCCAGTTTTCCGGGGTTCTCATGTGACTTTGATGCCAACCTCAGCTGCGGGGATCCGTCACCATGGTGACTATCCCCGTGACCAGCCTCTCTTCATTCATAGCAGGTTGCTGCGTCCTGGATTGAGGGTGGAGTGATTAAGGGAGGTGGAAGGAGGATCAGGGAGAGGGGAAAGGGACAGTGATGAACAATGAGTAAGGATGAAGTTTCCAGTCCTGGGGGAGACTGCAGTGCTCCAGCCTGACGGCTAGGATGCTCTGACAGAGTTATTGATCTCTCCAGGCTGCTATCACAGGAGGAACATTTGTATTCAGGTCGAAGTAAATAGCTTTGCCTTTGAGTGGAGAATCAAAGGCTCAGAGCTGGAAACTATCCTCCATTACCGTTGTTGGTACTGACGAAGAACAAGACCCAGAAAGGTGAGGCAGCTTCTACAAGGTCACACAGCAAGTCTTTTGCAAAACTGGGGCAACACCCACCATGTTGCATGTCATTCCTGATTCCTCTCCACCTAAGTAGGGCTCCCCTCTGGGCAAGGTCTGCTGTGGCCCATAGAGATCTAAGTATGACCTCTGATGATTGGGACATGGGGTTCCTTTGCTCCTGTGTTACTGAACCTGGATGGAACCATGAGTGAGCACAGACATCATTTAGTCTGTGCCAGGTCAGCCCTGATCCTGACTGATAAATGTGGGAGAGAATGACTAATAACCCATGAGAGGTCCCCCTGCAATTGCTAAATTCAGGGTTAGTTAGCTATGGAGATGTCTGTTTGATCAAAATGTCTCAGACCTGCCATTCAGTGGACTCTCAAATACCACCCTGTTCTGGACCCTCCTGTGCTTCATTCAGGGGTCCAATGAACAGACATGGATTGAACATCTTCAACACGCAGTGCACACAGCCACTGTGTTTAGGTGTTAGGGGTTAAGCAAATCAAAAGCTTTCTTTTTGAGCCAGGATCTCACTATATAGCACAGGCTGGCCTCAAATTCTTTTTGTCCTGCTCCAGCCAATGGAAAGGAACTTTATTTGGTCCTGGGGTCATGGGCCAAGTATGGTTCCAGTTTTATTTGACCTTCTTCTTGGGGCACAGGTTGGTGGTATGGTCATACTTCTTGCACGGAGCTGCAGGTGTGCATAGCACTTGTGGCAGATTATCTTGTCAGTTGTACTTCTGAACAAGGTGATGAAGGGATGGCTCAAAGATGCCACCACACAGGCAAGGCACCAGGTGCAAGGTGAACTCTTTCTGGATGCTGTAGTCTGACAGAGTGCAGCTGCTTGTTGGCAAATATCAGCCTCTGCTGGTCAGGTAGGGTGCCTTGGATCTTGGCCTTGACAGCCTTTTTTTGTTTTGTTTGTTTGTTGGTTGGTTGTTTTGTTGTTGTTGTTGTCGTTTTTGCTTTTTTGAGATAAGGTTTCTCTGTATTGCTTTGGAGGTTGTCCTGGAACTTGCTTTGTAGACCAGGCTGGCCTTGAACTCACAGATATCTGCCTGCCTCTGCCCCCTGAGTGCTGGGATTAAAGGCATGAGCCACCGACGCCCCGTTGGTCTTAACATTCTTAATGGTGTCAGTGGGCTCCACCTTGAGAGTGACGGGTTTGCCCATCAGGGTCTTTACGAAGAGCAACATATTGGCATCCATTTGGCCACCTTGTTGAAGAAAAAAGAGTGGCCTCTTGATTCTCAATCAAATTCTTGATCTTCCTATTTTAGCCTCCAAAATTCAAGGATTACAGGTATGTACCACCATATCCAGTTTGAAGAGACTCTGTGTGCTATTGCCTAGCGGCTTCCAGAGAAACCCAGGCAGAAGTTCAGAAACTCTGCCTCTCTTCACTCCGGTCATGCTCCTACAGCTCGGAACTGGAATCAGTAGCACATCCCTCCTGTCCCTACCCAGCTGTTACCCAGCCAGTGGAGAGACTCCAACCTGAAGCGAAGGAGCATTCATTCCACCTGAGACAGGCGGAGCTTCATCTGCACTAGTCACTGCTACTTGTGTTTACCCAATCAGGACTGCAGCTCCTGGAGTCTGGAGACTCTGCTGCACCTGTGTCTAAAATGCTTCTCTACCTTACAACAGGGGACACGGGACAACCATGCAGAAAGGTTTGGGGCATGTTGGCATTTTGCTCAGCTTTGGAGGCAGTCTGAATCTGAGTCCTGGCTGTCACTTACTCAAGTGGCCTTTAGAGCTTATTTAGCCTCTGAGCCTCAGTTGCTTCCCTTGTGAGAAGGGACACGTCACCTACCTTGAAGAGAAACCGTGGTGAGATATGGTGGTCACAGTGACACATGGGAAAAGAACTGATAAGGCAACCGCTTCTTTTCTACCATAGGGCGTGGAGGAAGGAGGACTGTGCATATACACTTGTAAACACACACACATGCATACTTACAACATACATGCACACCCTTTGTGGTGGTCTGAAAGGGAGTGGCACTACTAGGAGATGTGGCTTTGTTGGAGTAGATGTGATCTTGCTGGAGGAATTATGTCACTGTGGAGGCGGGCTTGGGGTCTCATATATGCTCAAGCCACACCCAGTGTCTCAGTTTGCTCTCTGTTACCCACCTAGCAAGATGTAAACCTCTCAGCCTGCACACCACCATATCCCACCATGATGATAAAGGACTAAACCTCTAAAACTGTAAGACACCCACTTAAATGTTTTCCTTTATAAGAGTTGTCATGGTCATGGTGTATATTCACTGCAGTAGACATCATAACCAAAGACACGCCCTCCCACCATCATCCTTCTCTGTCTTGCCTGATTACCTCCAGCCCACCCTGATGTCCCTCAGTCAGCTATGCCTGCACTTACCAGTGACCAACACAGCTTACCTTTAATAGCAATGGCAATGAGAATTATCCTTTGAACACCATTTACTGTACTGAGCATCTATCATAGACGAGATCACCAGAGTAAATCACTTGTCCATAGTCATACAGCTCAAAGGTAATACAGGTGGTATATGAGCCCACATTTACTGTATTAGTTATTTTTGTAGAACATCTGTCAGAAATGACTAAGGGAGATATCTGTTTGGGCTCATGGTTCAGAGGTCGTAGTCCATCATGGCAAAAAAAGATATAACAATTGTAGTCTATTGGTGTTTGGTGGTGGGAACTTCTAACATCTGCTCACATGGTGATAAGAGACACAAAAGGAGAGCCAAGATGGGAAGTGGGATGGGCATATCACCCTCAAGGCCTATCCTCAGTGGCCTACTTCAGTCAGCTAAGACTTACACCCCAGTGTTCCTACCTACTAAGGACCAAAGTCCAAACACCTGAGCCTTGTGGAGGACATTTCCCATTCAAACCCAAGGAGCTGACCCTACAGCTTGCTGCACACTGTCCCTCATTGCTGCCTGTGCTGTTTCTACCTATAGTGGACATGACCAAAAAAAGAAAAGAAAAAGAAATCATAGACCTTGGAGTCAGCTAGAAACGGGTGTAAAGCTTACATCCACCTCAAGAGAACTGACCCTATTTAGTCCTTACCTCTCCAAATCTTTCTTTCCTCATTTAAAGTTGTTGATGTTTTAAAAGATAAGATATTCTAGGTGTGGGAGCCCATGCCTGTAATCTCATCACTCAGGAGGCTGAAGCAGGAGGATTGAGTTCAAGGCTCGGCATGGGTTGCATAGTGAGTTGCAGACCAGCCTGAGCTACCAGGTAAGACCTTAAATGATGCTTGTTAGTTACTTTTGTAGTTACTGTGATAAAATAGCCTGTCAAAGCAACTTAAGGGAGAAAGGCTCATAGTTTGTGGATACAATGCAGGAAGCACTGGCAGAGGGGAATCTTTATTTATTTATTTAAGTTAGAAACAAGCTTGTTTTACATCTCAATCCTAGTTCCCTCTCCCTCCTCTCCTCCCCTGCCTCCCACCGACCCCCTATCTCATCCCATATCTGCTCCCCAGGGAGGGTGAGGCCTTCCATGGGGGATCTTCAAAGTCTGTCATATCATTTGGAGTAGGACCTAGCCTCTCCCCAATGTGTCTAGGCTGAGAGAGCATTCCTCTATGTGGAGTGGGCTCCCAAAGTCCATTTGTGTACTAGGGACAAATACTGTTCCACTCCCAGAGGCCCCATAGATTGCCCAGACCTCCAAACTGACGTCCACGTTCAAGGGGTCTGGAACAGTCCTATCCTGATTTCCCAGCTATCAGTCTGGGGTCCATGAGCACCCCCTTGTTCAGGTCAGCTATTTATGTGGATTTCTCCAGCCTGGTCTTGACCCCTTTGCTCATCACTCCTCCCTCTCTGCAACTGGATTCCAGGAGTTCAGTTCAGTGTTTAGCTGTGTGTGTGGCAGGGGGATCTTAAGGCATCTGGTCACATGTATCCTCAGTCAGGAGGCAGGGAATGATGAATACTTGTACCCAACTAGATTTCTCCTTTTTATGAAATCTAGGACCCACACCCAGGACTGGTACCATATACTTTTAGTGTGGATCTTCCCACCCCCAGTTACCCTAATCAAAACAATTCCTCAGTCATAGCCAGAGGTTAACACAATCTAGATGGCCTCTCACAGGCATGCCCAGGGACATCTTTTCTAAATGATTCTACATAGTGTCCAGTTGATGTCAATATTAACCATACAGATCTAGTGATATGGCTTAGTTGATACAGTGCTTGCCGTGCATGCCGGAGGTCCTGCACCCAATCCCAGCTCTGCATAAACCCAGCCTGGTGGCATGTGCCTGTAATCCGAGCATTCTGCAGGTAGAGGCAGAAGGATAAGCATTTCAGGAGATCCTCAGCTACACAGCAAATTCAAGACCTACCTGGGATGTATGAAACACTATCTCTAAGTAAACAAACAAAGATATGTAACAGTGATGGGCCTGTTTTGCAATAAGCATTACCTGTCTTCTCTGCTTTTTGTTCCCCTGCAGTTGTGTGTAATGAGAACTGTAGGTCATAGGGGGCGCTCTCCAGCAACATCCTAAAGGCTCCCATGTATCCTGCCCTTTTGTCTCTTACAACCATCATGAAGTCCATCCATACTGTTGGCATCTCTACTCTACAAAGGCAAAGTTCAAGGAGATTAGGAAACTTGCTTTAACCAAGTACAAATAAGAAACAGGCATTAGATTTGACCCCAGATCTATCTGATCACAAAACTCAGTTTCTAAACCAGGATTCCTGGGACTTGTCACCTGGGGCTTACAGGTGACTCCTTATGCATTTCTTCTATGAGAAAGTTCAGTAGGATCCCCAGATTCTATCTCACATGGAAAAGCCAGAGAGTCTGTTCATTTGTTTTCTGTAACTATAGCAACATACTATGATAATCACCATGTACAAAGAAAAGGATTTTGTTGACTTATGGTTATGGAACCTATGCTCACATGAAGGAATTTTTACACACACACACACAGAGAGAGAGAAAATTTCGGCGTGGAAACTGTGGTGTAGCCAGTGATTCATACAGTACACCCCTTAGTCCATACATCTTTACTTGTAAGTGCTCTTTGCAGTAGATTGTTGGTCTGGCTCAAGCCCTTTGGCTTCTGCTACTCTATTAATACTGGCCCCTGACTAGGACTCCTCCTGCAGCTTTGGATTTGTAGGTTTGTCCCCTTCACATGCTCCAGCAGTTTATTGATGAGGTAGATGTTGGAGTGGGCTTCCTCATAGCCCTGGTTCTGGGCCTGAGTGGTAACTGGATTGGTCAGCCTGCCAACTTCCATCAATTTGAGCTCTCTAACAGTGGCCCAGCTAGCTCACACAGCGCAGCGGGCAGCAAGGAACGGAGCCAGTTCTCCTGCTCTCTGCTCTCATGCCCTTGGGTCTGGCTCTGCCACACTCACACCACCAGGTCCAGCTCAAAGAGGGGCTAGAAAGATGGCTCAGTAGATACAAGCGCTGTCCAGCAAGTCTGGCAGCCTGATTTGACCGCAAGAACCCACAAAATAGAAGGAGAGAACCAACTCCCATAAGTTGACCCCCATATCTACACCATGGTATACACACACCTGTGCTCACACATGTGCACATGGACGTGCACACACTCACACACACAAATAAATAAGTAGGTAAATAAATAAATGTAATACAAAACTATCTTAAAAACAAAAGTGAGAAAGGGGAAACCCAGGACTCCATAATTCCCTGCTAAGGGCACGTCCCCAATGACCTGAAGGCCTCCAACTAAAACCACTTCTTATAGATTCCACTACTCCCAACAGTGCCTAACTGGAGGCCAGAATTTGCCAACTGTGCCTTTGAGGGGACATTTGCGGCCCAGCCTCTAACACAGGATATCAAGAGACTTACCCAAGGCCAGCTGGTAGCCATCAGTCCTACAGCTCAGGGCTCCTGAATCCAGAGATTCAGTTTCTCCCTTGCCTGTGACTGAGATCCTTGGGATGGAGATGCTAGGACTGTGGGAGCTCGGCCAGAAAGCCTCCAACCATGGAGGAATTTGCTTTGAAGACAAAGGATGACTCCTGGCAAAGGCAGTCATTCCTATTTCTGCTACAGACAAATGGGTGGTTGCCACGGATTCCATGATAAATCTTTCTGCTAAAGATGATGCATCACTTGGGGCTGGTTACAGGCACAGAATCTTTGGACATTATACAAGTCAATTACCGAGACCAAGGCTTCAGCACTGAGCAGAGATATTTTCATCGAGTGTGGCTGTAACAGAGCCAGACAGTCCCTGGGATCCAGCTAGGAAACAGTGTCTGCTTTGTGCTTTATACTGGGGTGATGAGGAGAGGTGAGACTTGCCTCCACTCCCATCAAGATGGCCTCTACTTCATGTTTTCTTCCGAGGTCACCGGAAGGCAATGAATCAATCAAGAATATTTAGCACGTTCTAGAATCCTCAATCTTGGATGGAAAGATGGCTCAGCACTTGCCATCAAGCCTGCCAACTTGAGTTCCATTTCCAGGACCTGCATGTTAGAAGGAGAGAAATGATTCTCACAAGTTTTTCTCTTAATGGCACACATGCATGCACACCTCCACTGCCCAGGCACTCAAAATAAAAGAAGTAAAAATAAAATTTTTAGAATCCCCAGCTTATCCTTCCTTGCTCTCAGCTACCTGCAATTAAGAAAAGAAGTTTCCACTCCATACTAAACCCCAAGTGCAATCTGAAAACACAGCCTTGTCCCTTCAGCCCCAGGAAAGGCAGTCTTCTGTGCCCTTGCTGTACATGAGCCCCAAAATCTCCCAGATTATCTCTCCTGCCCCTCAAAAACCTCCTGGAGAGTATAATCTTCCAAGTGATGCCATTCCCTGGGAATGGTTCTAAACCAGCAGCTCCCCAACCCTTAACTGAGAAGCACCTAGCCAGGCCTTCTGGGGCCATGGGTTTTGACCCTAAGTGTTTGCAGATCCTCTGGCCCAAGCATGACTTTCTTCTCTCAAAATCAAAACTTGCCACCTTAGCTGATCCCTGAAGGCTTCTCCTACTTGTCATAGTTTTGGACAGATCCTTAATCCCTCTGTACCCCCAACTTTCTCATCTGAAATTGTGGCAATGGTCTGCATAGTACCAAAATGCAGGGTTCCAAAGAGACAATTAGAGGTGGCCAGAGCATAAAATGAGGGGGCTGGAGCTGGTCAGAAATAAGGAGATGAAAGATTAAACCTTGAGCTTGAATCAAATGTTATTCTAAATGCTTAGATTTTATTTTAAAGGTGGTGAAGAAAGCATAGTAATAGAACTGCCAGATTTAGCAAGGAGAATGCCAGACGTCCAGTTAAATTAGAACTGGAATCGCACATCCTGAATTTTATGTGGCAAGCCTGTATGGAAGTGACAGAGAAAGTCCTCTGGATTCCAAGTAGAGGATATGTTTCAGAACTTGGGGCAAGGTGACTGCATAGGGGTTGTCATTATATACCAGACAATCATTAAAGCTAGTATTTGCTGAACACTGCTTTGCCAAGCACTATTTCTTAGAACTTTACATACAGGATTCATTTACTCTCATAACAAGCCAATGAAATATGTGCCTAATATCACCTCTACTTTACAGGTGAGGAGACTGAGCACAGAGAGGTTAAGTAACTTACCCCAGGCCACACAGTTAGCTAGTGACAGAGCAGAGGTTGCAGGCAAAACCCCAAGTAAACACCCTGCATTGCCATGCAAACCCAAGTCATATGGTGAAAACCAAATGAGAGAAACCACATTAAAGCTCTCACCCACTGGAAAGTGTGAGACAGGGACTCTGGGAAACCCACCGTGTGGCAGATGTTCACAGTTCATATCATTTGATGTGCTACAAAGGAGGAGAGTGGAACCAGAACCAGAAAAAAAAAACCCAGCTCCTCTTCAGAGCCTTGCATCTGATGCTCCCCTCCATCCCGCCACTGCTGCCCGGTATGCGTAACTGGGAGACTTCCAGACAGAGAATGAGCTGTGGGGGTGCAGAGCATCCACACAGAGGCCAGGAAGGTGCTTGCAGCCCTGGCCAAGGGACACACAGGAGGTCCCCTAAGATTTGGGAAGTACCATCACCAACAATGATGGCTGACCAGGCTGAGGCCTGGAATAAGAGAACTGGAAGGCCACATTAACCAGACAGGAATGATGACCAGAAGGGACTGGGCCCTCGTGGGGACCAGAGGAAAGCCATGTTTAGCTTATCAAACACTAAACTGATGGAACCAAAACAATGAATCAATTGAAGCCCAGAGATAATAATGACCCTGGAGTCACAGGGAAAGGGGGTCAAGGCAGAAACGGGGCCTGGGGTCTTCTGACTGTATCTGCTGAGTCGGGCATTGATGGAGTCCTGCTCTAGACTCCAAGAGAGTACTAAAGCAAGGCATGATGACGGTACATGCCTGTAACCCCAGGTCTCAGGAGGTTAAGGCAGGGGGACCACAAGTTTGAGCCAGTCTGCATTGCATGGGCAGGACAAGGCCAGCCTGGGCTACATAGTGAGACCCTATCTCAAAAAGTACCAAATGGGGGCTGGAGAGATGGCTCAGGGGTTAAGAGCACTGATCTGCTCTTCCAGAGGACCCGGGTTCAATTCCCAGCACCCATATGGCAGCTCACAACTGTCTGTAACCCTGGTTTCAGGGGATCTGACACCCTCCATACCAATGCAAATAAAATAAAATTAATAGTTTTTTAAAAAGTACCAAATGGAGGGGAATGAGGATGGAGATGCCCCAAAGTGCAGGCCATGGTCAAGGTTTCAGGTGTCTGCTTTAGGCACTCAGCCTTTGGCCCCTCAAGTGTGACACAGAAGCTGGGGCAGAGCTGGGCTGAACTCAGACACTGAGAACCAAGAGACCGCTGCCCCCCCCCCTCTGTCTCACACACACAGAGTTTTGCTTTGAAAAGGTTCAGTAACTGGCTTAAGAGGGTAAATGGGAAACGCCCCGTGAATCTAGCCTGTTATTCCTTCCTGTGTCCTAGGCTCTACCTGCTGGCTTTCACGTGCTTCTGTACTTCCCTCCGGTCCACCAGCTCCACCAGCTTCCTTCTAAGACCTTGAGACAGAGCCCGTCCCCAGCAGCATCTGCAGAGAATCAGGCGGGAGACAAACGTGCCACCTCACATGTCAGCCAGCCTGGCTGCCTGCCGACCTCTTGCCTTCCACCCGCAATACGCAGCCCGCATTACCCCTCCCACTGTCTGGTTCACAAAATATCCCTGCTCATCCGGACTTCACCCCTCTGGTCCACCACCCAGGGAGCTGGTGAGCCAGCAGTGGGGGCAGCATGAAAGGCTCAAGGGGATAGGAGGAGGCTCCAGCCCTGCCAGCCTGGAAATGTACAAAGCCCATCCCTCGGGACCAAGCCCGAGCCTGACGTCAAACCGAGGCTGAAAATACAGTCTGGAAAGTCACGAGGTGCCCATGAAAAACGAGCTGCCCTCCCCAGACAGGGACGTAAATCCCAGCTTCTCAGAGTCCCTGAGCAGTAGGAAGAGCCTCAGAGCCGCCAGAATTTCTGCTGAGAAATTCCTACCTCCCTAGTCCCACGTCAGGGACTGCCCTGGACAGGACACCTGCACTCCCTCCCTCCCCAACTCCTCACGCGTGCACACACTGCTAATAGCAACCTGCACCTGACAGAAAGGGGAGTGGACGAGGGGGAGGGGCAACAGTGGGTCTAGCGCCCCCTAGGGCCTATCTAGAACTTCTCTAGCTAAGCCATAGTGGAGCGAGGACCAGACCTTACTCAGAAGTCCCAGAGAACCCACATGTGAAGCCCACATGCGAAGGTGAAGGTCCCTGGCCACACCAAGCCCTGACATCGTTTGCTATTTCCTCCAACTAGTTACCTTTACAAGCTCTCCACAGTCATTCCTTTATCCTAGGGAACACAAAGGCCCAAGGTCTCCGAATGGCCTAATACACACTTCTCTCAGTGGTAGACCTGGAAATGGAAATTCAAATTAACCCTTTCCTCTCCGAGTTGTTTTTGGTCAATAGAAACCCTAAGGTAGGCATCTTATATTAGATGAAGAGAAAATGATTGAGGGAAGGATTTAAAAAGTGTTGACTGATGGAAATTATAAACATATACATTGAAATACAGGTGTTTCTACAACGGACCAGAGAGCCATAGTGTGAAGGTGTTTCAAACACCTTCTTCCAAGACATGTATGTGTTCCTGTTGCCCTCAGCAAGCTACTCAGCTGGTTCTGAGAACCCCGCCTGACATGGGGTCAAGTGCCCGACATATGGTGGCACCTCAAGCAATTCTATTGAACTGGTGTGGAAGAAGCTGGTTTGAAAACAGCTTAGGACGTGGGGAGGGGACAGAAACTGAACTGGTTTGTATAAACAGCCAGAATAAATTGACTCCTTGAAAGTTTTACACCCAAATAACTTTAAGCTGCCAGCTAGGTTGCAGGATGTGGCTTTGACGGTTTTTCATTTCCCAGGGACTGTGGCACACAGAGAGCTGTCACTGGTGGCATGGAGCATCCATCCATGCTCCATCCATCCATCCATCCATCCATCCATCCATCCATCCATCCATCCATCCACATTCATCCCTCCACACCTGTGGACCACCCGCGCAGGGCTGACTGAAGTGTGGGAGGCTCCGGCTTGGTAGGCAGCATGCCGGTAGAAGTTGCTCCCCTAGGCCTGAACACCTCCCCCCTTTCCGCCTCCCTCTAGAGAGCATTTGCTGGTACTGCCACCTGTGTCTCTAACAAGGCCCAGGAGACCCTGGGGAACTGACACCAGGCCCTAGTGGTGCTCTGAGAGTTCCTGCTCTTCCTGAAGAAGGAAACACCTTCCTGGTTGCTCAGGGCAACCAGATCCCCCTGGGAACACTGTGTGCAAACTGCAGCTTATCTGTAGCATCGACTCTGCCCCAGCCTCATGGACAGGGAAGGAATCTGTCAGTTCCTACTTAATTCCTAGCCCAAACTCAGGAACTGGTCCAGGAGAGACACTTGACATACAGATTCTGAACAACATGAACACCGCTGACAAGGTAGAGAGCACAACTGGAAGCTGTGGGGGCGCCTGCGGTCAGTGGGTATCAGTTCTGCCACACATTACCTAGTTATCTGAGAGGTCCTACACTAGTGTCTTGGCTTAGAAAGTTCCAATTCTTTATCTGAAAAGTAGGGCTAACCATACAGCTCACCTACTCTTTAAAATGGCCCTGTGTTTACAACACTATTCCCCAGATAGAGGGGGCTGTACAGATACCACATGTATGCAGACAGAGGTAGGATGCATGGTGCCCTGCAGCCCCTCGACACCTGAAGAAGATATGGGGCTCATCCACCACGCACAGCTAATTGCATGTCGTCAGTATCTCCCAGCACTACGTCCAGGAGAAGCAGCACCTGCAGAGGTCCCTGGAGTTAGACCTAGGATGAACAGAGTAGGACCTGGCTGTGCTTTCCCTCTTGAGGGAGACTGAGCCTTCCCTTAAGGAACTTCAACTGATTGGGCCAGGCCCACCCAAGATAACTTCCCTAATTTAAAATCAACCAATAAGGAGCCATGATTATATGTGCAAAGTCACTTCCATTTGACCGAATACTTGATTGAAGGGCATTGTGTCTCCTGAGTATTTATCAAAAGCACGCCAGTCAATATATTTCAGAGATTTTTGTATATCAATGTTTACTAAAGCATTTTTCACAACAGCTAAACTATGGAACCCAGCTGGGTGTCCAACAACAGAGAAATAGACAAAGAATATGTGGTATATATACACAGTGGAGCATTTCTATCCTTAAAGGTGGATGAAGCCGTGTTGGTTGCAGGAAAACAGACCCAATTAGAGAAAAATTGTAATAGGTGATCTAAGTCAATCCAAGGAAACAAATATTGTGTGTTCTTGCTTATCTGTTGTTCCTATATCTTTCACAGATACACAGAACCATGTGTGTATAGGACATAAAGTAGAAATAAAACTGTCTGGAGAGCCACAGAAAACTAACTGGGGGAGGGATATGAAGAAGGAGGGTAGGAGGACAGGAGAGAGCAGGAAGATTGAGCCAGAGGAAGAATAGAGGAGAGCAAGAAAAGAGATACCATATTAGAGAGAGTCATTATAGGTTTAAAGAGAAATCTGGCACTAAGAAAATATCCAGAGATCTACAAGGTTGACCCCAACTAACAATCTAAGCAATAGTGGAGAGGCTACCTTAAACGCCCTTCCCAATAATGAGATTGATGACTACCTTATATGCCATCCTAGAGTCTTCATTCAGTAGCTGATGGGAGCAAAAGCAGACACCCACAGCTAAACACTGAGCTGAACTCTGGAATCCAGTTGCAGAGAGGGTGAAGTGATGGGCAAAGGGGTCAAGACCAGGCTGGAGAAACCCACAGAAACAGCTGACCTAACAAGGGGTTGCTCATAGCTGGGCCGTGGTGGCTCACGCCTTTAATCCCAGCACTCAGGAGGCAGAGGCAGGCGGATCTCTGTGAGCTCCAGGCCAGCCTGGTCTACAGAGCGAGTTCCAGGGCAGCCTCCAAAACAATACAGAGAAGCCCTGTCTCGAAAAGCAAAAAACAAAACAAACAAACAAAAAAACCAAGGGGTTGCTCGTAGACCCCAGACTGATAGCTGGGAAACCAGCATAGGACTGTTCCAGACCACATGAACGTGGATGTCAGTTTGGAGGTCTGGTTAATCTATGGGGCTTCTGGTAGTGGATCAGTATTTATCCCTAGTAAACGAATGGACTTTGGGATCCCACTCCACATAGAGGGATACTCTCTCAGCCTAGACACTCAGGGGAGGAACTAGGCCCTGCTCCAAATGATATGACAGACTTTGAAGATCCCTCATAGAAGGCCTCACCCTTCCTGGGGAGCAGAAAGGGGAAAGTGTGTGTGTGTGTGTGTGTGTGTGTGTGTGTGTGTGTGTGTGTGTGTGTGTGTGTGTACCATGTGTGAGGTGGGGTGGAGTCTAAGGTCAGAAGAAGGTGTTAAATTTACTGGATCTAGAGGTACAAGTAGTTGTGAGCTGCCTGGTTATAGGTTCCAGAACCTAAACTAGGGTCCTCTGGAAGAGCAGCAGACTCTCTTAATCTCTGACCTATCTATCTATCTATCTATCTATCTATCTATCTATCTATCTATCTATCTATCTATCATCCATCCATCCATCCATCCATCCATCCATCCATCCATCCATCTATCTATCCATCCATCATCTATCTATCCCTCTCATTCACTTTTTTGGTGACTTACCCAAGCTCCCAGGCTCCTGAGACTTGAACTGGTATTTGTCCGACTCCTTCATATCTTCACTTGGAGCAGAGTTTGCTAAGAGGAAGGAGGACAGAAGACTTTTACCTTTTGCTGCACATCAGAAAAGGCCAGAGGAAGAGGCCTGTGTTTCCGAGGCTGTTAAACACAGGACCTTACACATGCTAGGCAAGCACTCTGCTGCTAAGCTGACTCCTCGGCCCTTTTGTAGTTTTAAGACAGTGTCTCACTGAGTCACCCAGACTAGCTTTGAACCTGTAATCCTTCTGTCTCAGCTTGATGAGTAGTTGTGCTGGCAGACCTAGCTGTTACCATTTTTTTCTCCAAATGAAATGTAGCCCATGCCAAGCCTCCATCCTACCAGTCCAGAGGGAAGCTTCCTCGCCCACCCCAGCAAAGAGTCTGAGGTCTCCCACATCACTGAACATTCAGGAAGCGTATGCTGGTCTCTGAGACAGAGAAACTCTTTGAAGAAAGGAAAGGAGGGAGGGAGGGAGACAGAGAAACTGATCTGGGCATGGCACACCTTTAATCCAGCACTCAAGAGGCAGAGGCAGGCAGATCACTGAGGCCAGTCTTGTTACAGAGCAAATTCCAGTACAGCCAGGGCTATACAGAGAAAGTGTCTCAAAGAAAAAAAGAGAGAGGAGAGACTAGAAAGCACACAAGACTAACGGTTTTGCAGCTAGGATGCACATGTGACCCAGCTTCACCCAGGAAGTTCCTACATGACCCTTAGAGGTGGGGTAAGGGACAAAAGTGGCAGCAAATGGAAAAAGACAGCACTGGCCGAGGGGATGAGGGTTATTGGGTCAGCTATAGAGGGTTTTAGTGTCCCCAGGGCGATGGTTTCCCCAGATCCCTCTGGGGATTTCTCCAGGGTATTTGTCTCCAAACAGGGTATGCATCTCCTGGCCCTTCAGAAGGTTCTAGAAACAACTTAACATCATCTAATAAATTCCTGTCTGTGTACATTAGCCAGAATGGCATCTGTC